TATTTTTGGATTGGTCTGATAAAGACAGGAGGAGTGTGGAGGATTGATGGCACCACAAATTGACATGGGTGAGTGATCACTGAATTTAACTGATCATTAGCCTGAAAGTTTTTCTACAATTAGTTTTATATTATAAACAGAGCCTAAACTATTCAAAATATAAATCCTGGCGTGAAAAGGAATGTTTTAGGTCCTGGACTGACAACTGTAACTGTGGCGTACTAGGCGCATCAATGATTCAATGTTATCCCTGTGATTTTACATACAGATTTTCCAGAATTATTTATCCATAATAACAACAAATATGTGAAGTAAAGTTTCTTTTCATATCTCATGAGTTAACTTTGTCTTGTCTGTTAATTTTGTTGTTATTCAGAAATTGAAAAAAATTTTTATTTTATTTTTTCAAAATTCAAAATAAATTAACTTGTGCCAAGTTTCCAAGGCTTCTGGAGTTTTTATTCTACACTTTTTCTTAGCATCACACAACATTACTGTCACAAACATTATCAAAATCCATTTGCAGGCTTACAGTAATATTTGTACACTATTTTACACTATTTATTTAATTTCAGCTTCATTTCCCCAAAACATTTTTAAATAACTTTAGATTTAAGCAACAATAACAACACCGCTGGTCCAAGCCTGTGATCAGATCTTTATTACACAGCATGTGATAAATGTTTTAACATGACATATCCACATTTATTTTTCAAGATTTAAAAAAATGGAAAAATCACCCATAAATGAAATGTTTACACGTGTAAGACAGTGTGAAGAGTGGACAGAGCCTGGCCTAACCTCCTGCAAACTGTTAGGTTTAGAGCATGATCTGCAAAGCTGCATCAGTTCGTTTAGATTAAATAATGATGGGTAGATCTGCACTATAAAGAACCTTTTGTGCAATGGAAAAGTTCTATGGATGTTAAAAGTTCTTCATAGAATCTCAGATTCCAATAAATAACCTTAAAAGTGTTCCTATCCTTTGGGAACTTCTATAAACTAAAAACTTAATTCTTTAATAAGGATATACAAACCTTGCTCATCCTGCTGCTGTTCATTTCAAGGAAAAGGTATTGTGCATTTAATCAGATATAACTGGAGTGCAAGATGAGTGAATGCTTGGCTAAATAGGTGCATCTTTAATCTGGTTTTGAACTGGGAGAGAGTGTTTGACCCCCAAATATTATAAGGAAGGCTATTCCAGAGTTTAGATGCTAAATGCAAAATTGCTCAACCTCCTATAATGGACTTTGCTATCCTAGGTACTAGCAAAAGTCGAGATTTTTGTGACCATAAAGAATGTGGTGGATTGTAGCATGATAAAAGATCTGTTAAATACACAGGAATCAGGAGCTAAAGCATTTTAGGCCTTATAAGTAGCAAGAGATGATAAAATGTGGGGTTAGACCCTCAGAAAAAAACAAGCTGTCACTAAGGCAGTACCTTTTTTTTAAAAGGTATTCCTTTGTACCTTATTTACCCCATATTAATACATAAAATATACATATTAGTAACTAAGTGCACATATTTGTACCTTTTGAAAGGATACCACCCCAGTGATAACTTTTGTACCATTTTTCCTGAGAGTGTAGCAGCATCATTTTGGACTAACTGTAACTTGTTTAATAATGTGTGCATATTTGAAAATAAAAATATTGTTTGCAAATAGTTTGGATGCATAGATTCCAGTATTACGTAACTGGTGAGTTTATTATTCAAATTAACATTCAGAGTGATGAATATAAACTGGTAGCACGAGAGGATTTAACCTCTCTAGAACTGACACATAAGAGGAATGGCTGATAAAACAACACATTTTTGTGTATTTTCACAATCACAGAGTTTTTTTTAATGTGGCACATAGGTATATTTATGGAGGAATCACACCAGTGAGAGGAAACATTTGCTGGCAGGAGAACATCGGACCACTGGATATATTAAATAATTTATCACATGTTATGGAAAAAGTCATTAATCTGTATATTTTTATAATGTGTGATGGTGATGTGGGGTTTTATATTGTGTGTAAATGATTAAGAGACTTGTTGTTCAGAGCTCGTCATTTACCATCAGTGCACCTCCTGAATGGGGCAGCATCAGTGTCCTGGTGCACCTCACCCTGCTCGACCTGAGCTCTGGTGGATTTGGGTGGAGAGAAACAAGAGAAAAAAAGAGGCAAACCTCTGAAACCTTCCCTTTTTTTCTGCCTCTTTTTCTTTCTTTTGACCTCTCTCCTTTGTGCTCGCCTCCCTCATTAACGCCCACAACAGGCGTCTTGTCAAGACAAGGATGGAGCTCCGCCATGTGGTCGGTGGGTGTCAGGGGTGGACGGAGATTGACCCCATTCACACACACACCTCCGCTCGCTTTCTCTCCACAAGATAGTCGCTGTCCCATAATCAGCACAGTAAATCACTATCAAAAACTGCTGATATCACTAAACTCCTACTCACAACAAAGTGATTTACTGTATCCTGCGTCATGTTAAAAGACTCCTGGAATTCCTCTGTGATATCATAAGGGCCCATACTGAGCTGAGTGCAGGAGATTCTCACACACATTAAAACAACATTACACAGTAAGATAATTTTGAGATGTAACTTTAACAAGCATTTAACAGCAGTATATTTACAAGTTTTTTTTCAGCAAGAAAGCGTGAAAACAGATGTTTCATTTGTGCAGCGGCCCACAAAATAATATTTAATATCTAATGTGATCCATTACATCTTGACTTGACTTTACTTATTGACTAGCTGGTTAAATTGCAAGAATGGCTATTTCAAAAGATGCTGAAATATACAAATAATGAACAACAACAACAACAACAACAAAAAGCCCTTACTATTGCAACAATGTTTTTAATAGCATTGTAAAAGAATGTGAAGTAAATTCCATAGAGGGTTAGTAAGTAAGTATGTAAATTTTATTTATATAACACATTTAAACATAGCAAAGCTATCCAAAGTGCTAAACAAAGTAAAGGAAAGTTAAATAAAGACAGAATAAAACCCAAAACCCAAACAAAACAGACAATAAAACAAAATTAGAATGAGTTTAAAATGCTAAGGAGTAGAGATACGTTTTCAACTTCGATTTAAAAATGGCAATAGAAGGTGCAAGGCAGCTGTCCAGAGGCAGTTGATTCCACAGACGGGAGGTCTGAGTCTCTTAATCTCCCTTAGTTTTTAACGGTAATGAGGGACAGATAAAAGAGCCCTGTCAGAAGATCTTAAAAATCTGGTAGATGACAGAGGAGTTAGAAGGTCTTTAAGATAGGATGGAGCTTGGTCATTAAGAGCTTTAAAAACAAACATCACAAGTTTAAACTGAATTCTAAAATGGACCGGAAGCCAATGAAGCGAAGCTAAAATTGGGGTGACATGGTCATATTTCTTTGCCCTGGTCAACAGACTTGCAGCTACATTTTGTACCATCTGGAGGCATGCAAGCGATGACTGAAGAAGACCCAAATACAGTGAATTAATCATCTAAACATGAGGTAATAAAAGCATGAATAAGCTTCTCCAAGTCTTGAAAAGACAAGAATGTTTTAAGTTTGGAAAGAATCTGCAGTTGATAAAAACTGTTCTTACAGAACTGATTTGTTTGGATAAACATAATTCTGAATCCAGGATAACACCAAGGTTCCTAACCTGGGAGGAAATTGAGCGGAAATTATTGCCCAGCTACTTAATGAGACCATTCCTCAATTTTGAGGGAACAAAAACAATTACTATTTCTGATTTGTCTTCATTAAGTTGGAGAAAGTTATTTGAAAACCACTTCTTAATATCCGAGATACATTCCAACAATGGTTGAATGGAATCGCCAGCTTTTCAGCATATAAATGAAATGAAACATTGTGCTTCCTAATAATATCCCCCAGTGGACGCATATATAAGTTAAGAAGAAGCGGCCCAGAATAGAGCCCTGGGGTACTCCACTAATAATAGGGGCAGAATATGAAGAGAACTTGCCTAACTCTACAGAAAAAGACATGTCTTTGAGCTGAACAATCAAATCGATCAAATAAGAACCTTATGATCTACAGTGTTAAAGGCAGCTGTAAGATCAAGTAGTATCAATACAGCATTTTTACCAGCATCAACTGTAAGCAAAATGTCATTGAACACTTTTAGGAAGGCAGACTCTAGCTGCATTTAAAAAATGCCGCAGTGACCTGTGATTTATTTATGTATTTATTTTATTTATTTTTTTTGAGTTCATATATGATTCCTTTAGATTTTACCTTAGATTTTGACTGTGGTTTTCCATCATTTGCATTCATATTGCATGGGAATCCGCAAACTTTGACTTGCATCTGGCAATTAATATTTGAGTCATTCACAAGAGGGCAGCCTTGTTTCAAGGGATTTTTTTGACTGAATGATAGTTTTCCAGCACTGAAATCTAAAAATATCTCTATTTATATATTGCTTATACATTCAGACTGTTTGCGTTTTATCACACAGTAGGCTACGTCTGAATGTGCGTGGTCATGCATGTGAACTAAATAGCCTATGTAAGCACGTCCATCATGACTTTCTTATAACAGTCATGAGAACAGCATGTGAGGGTTACAGTGCACAATAGTTTTGCCATCATGAAAGGCGATACATGGTTAAACATTGAGCACTATATGGCAAGTAGCCAAACTGGAAAGCCACTGAGGATTTCTTGATCCCTCCAGTTCTCTAAAATAATTTAAATAATTATTAAATAAATAATAAATAATAATAATAATAATGATTGTTACAATTATTATTATTTAATACTTTAATTAAATTAGGTAAATGTAATACGCCATAAAAATATAAAACTATAAATAACACAAAATTGCAAAAACTTTATACTCTTATTGGTAAAAATTGTGTTTATTGTGTTTTGCAAGTTTATTGTGATTGCAATCTGAAGGTGATGTAATTAATAATGCATTGTAGACAGGCGCTGTACTGCGCATAATCAGCCACGCCTCCTTTTAAAGCTCGCGGCTGCGAATTTAGCACGAGCCAGTCAGTTAGTCACATACAAACGCTCGTAAAAACGGATTATATGAAATAAGATTAAAACGCTGGCGTCATAAATATTATACAAATGCTGACTTTACAACACAGTGAGTCCGAGTTTTATTCGTTTATACGGAGAGTTGTCAAGCTGTGCTTTTTACGTCGGGTTAGCGTGTTAGCTTATAACTCTTCCAATTGTGGTTTGTTTGACAGAATTTGGCAGAAGACAAACAATCAGTCGAGTTTCATTTAGTTTGATCTATAATAAAGAACCAAGCAAGCGCCAGTGATTTCTTAAGGTAGAGGGATGTTATTATTATTTGGCTAAGCTAATAAAGCATTCATTTATAATGTGTCTTTATGTGATTTCTGTGAAATTCTCATTTATAAATGCAGCTAGTAAAACATTCACAATGGCCTGTCAGGGTCATATCATATAAACCTCAGTTTTACTTCACTTTAATGTTACCATCAGGCATGGGGTTTTGTTAGTATCACTGGAGGTTGTGAGACTCAAATCTCTGAGTGTGTTGATAGTTTGAGGCGGTCGGCAAGAGGAAATCCACTATCTGTGTGTCAAAACACACTTTATTCTTGCTTTGGCCACAAGCAAGTGAATTTATCGTGTTTGGGGCTCATATTCAGCATGGCTAAGCTTCAGTCTGGTAACGGAGTGCAGTGGAAGGACAGCAGGAGTCAGCGGGGCACGGTGGAGAGTCTGGCCGAGCACGAGAGCTCTTCTCTGGGCTCGGACTCTGAGCTCAACGGCTTCGCCAACACGGAGATCCAGACAGACAAGTACGGATTCATAGGAGGAGCTCAACAAAGCACAGAAGAAAAGTAAGTGGCAGTTACATTTATGGATGTAAAAGAAAGACTTTAAACCATTAATAACTTTTTATACTATAGAAACAGATAATAGAATAGCGATGAATGTGTTTGTTACTCGTTATAATAACGTCCAGATCTAATTGCATTATGTAATACTCATCATGAACAACAGTTATAAATAAATGTGAAACTTTTGCATACACATTCAAGAGCCCTTGAGCTACTGATTAAGCATTATGTAATGACTTACTCATGAAAGTTACTGTGAAGCACACTGATGTTTTTTGTTTTGCTTTATTGGAATTAGTGCAACATTTTCACACCTTCATGAGTGCCTTCATTAAGTGGACTCTGAATTGTTTTTGAGGACAGTCTTCATCCTCGTCCATGCGAGCGCAGATGAGTTGACAGGTCTATAACACCGCTGAAGTCCCCAGTGGTTGCTCTTGCTGAGTTCTTCTAATATGACCAGCTTTGAGAAGTGCTTGGTCAGCTCACATTCCTCCATCCATTTAAGAACGGATGTTGTATAATATTATAAGCTGTGTTTGTGTGTGTGCTATCATTTGCTTGCCTTTTTCTGGGATTTGTAGAAATGTAGTGGTCAAATTTTAGTAAATCAGTATAATCATAAGAACTGGATTAGTAAGTAATAGTTAATGTGTTTTTTTATTCATAAAGTGAAATATGTTTCCATAAAAAGATTTGGACAGGAATATATAAATTACCATAAGTTTTTATTCATGTTTTTGAAAAGTCTCTTATGCTCACCAAAGGCTGCATTTATTTGATAAAAAATACAGTAAAATATTAATATTGTGAAATATTATAATTTAAAGTAATTGTTTTCTATGTTAATATATTTTAAAATGTATTTTATTCCTGTTGGCGGAGCTGAATGTTCAGCATCATTACTCCAGTCTTCAGTGTCACATGATCCTTCAGAAATCATTCTAATATGCTGATTTGCTGCGCAACAAACATTTCTGATTATTATCAATGTTGAAAAGAGTTGTGCTGCTTCATGTTTTTGTGGAAATTGGAGTACTTTTTTCAGAATTCTTAGAAGAATAGAAAGTTTGAAAGTAAATAATTTATAAGAAATAGAAGAAATATCTTTTGTAACATTATGAATGCCTTTACTATTACTTTTGATCAATTTAATGCATCCTTGCTGAAGTATTCATTCCTTTAAAAGGTCTTACTTTTGAAATGTAGTTTATTAGCCTCAGGACTGGATATATTGTGCAGAATATATTTTGCATTATGCCAAAATTCATCTTCATGACAAATTCATTTTTTTCCTCTAGATGATCCAGTAAATTGCCAGCATCCTCCTCTTCTGCAGCTATTACAAACACTTGTCTGTTTTGCGTTGACTTACATGAGTGTCTCTAATGACTCTGGACAATGCAGTTCTGTTTGGCCAAGCAACCATTCACTGATCAGATTAATCTGCTGTTGAATTAATAGCAGAAAGGCGCATCTGTCCTCTACAGTTCTCACGAAGAATGTCTCTTATTCCCTGTACAACAGAACGTTTCTTTTCAGTCTCTCATTGAGACTCATGCAGGAGTTTCCCCTTATGCTGTGAACTCCCTTTAGCACTCAGAATTGCTCATTGATTTGTTTTGGCAGAACCTCGCTGCAAGAGTTTTCAGTTTTGAAATTAAACTGCTCAGTGACTCATTCAGTTCATTCGACAAGCAGTAGTGTGGCGGTCAGGCATCTAAATAGTTTTAATTGCTGATAAAATAAACAGCTCAAATCATCTGTCAGACATACAGTCTGTTTTAAACTCTGATGAGTATTAGCGGCCCACACAGAAACTCCAAAATGTATGCACATCCGCTGATCCTCGCATCTACGCTTATGTAATTTTTTGGCAGGTAACACATCTTGTATAATATGAGATACTTATGATTTGCATATTGCTTGGAAAAATATTTGATCAGAATACACGGCTTCTTATGAAAGGCCCTCAATTTTTTTTTTATTATTTTTTTTTAAGTAATGCTATTTAGCAGGGTTGCATTATATTGATCAAAAGTGACAGTAAATACATTTATATTCTATTCTTCCTGTTTTGTCTGTTCATCAGCGAATCCTGAAAAATATAAAGCATTGATAATAATCAACATTGATAATAATAATAAATGTTCCTTGAGCAACAAATCAGCATATTAGAATGTTTTCTGAAGGATCATGTGACACTGAAGACTGGAGTAATGATGCTGAACATTCATTCAGCTTTGCGTCATTGGAATAAATTACGTTAAAATATATTGAAATAAAAAAAAAGTTATTTTGAAGTGTAATAATATTTCACAATATTGCTGCTTTTATTTGGATTTTTGATCAAATAAATGCAGCTTTGGTGAGCAATAAGAGACTTCTTTCAAAAACATGAAAAAAATCTTACTGACCCCAAACTTTTCCCCAGGGTTTTTTTCTTTAAGTATAATACTCTCAACTTCTTTTTTTTTTTCATGTTAAAATCCATTCCTCAGAAATCTACTGATACTCCATTCTTGGCCTGACTTTAAGAAATGGATTGCATTAGTTCTGGCTTTGTCTCTTGAAAAAAAGCATTTTTACTGGAAAATGGCATTTTTCTCACACACATCGCTCTCTCTTTCCCATCAAATATTGTATAAAAGAGGTCTTTGAGGATTCTATGATTACTATGGATCCTCATGACGTTCATACTTAATGAGATTAAAGTCTGTTTGAGAAAGAGGGCTGTGCTCATGCTACGAGGACAGTGTGTCTACACAATTGACAATGACAATTGCACTTCTCTATGGAGAATCATTTACATTTCACTGTTTGGCTTTTGTTTCCCTCCATTTGTTTACTACTGCCTAGGAGATGAAACCAAGTGCCAAGCCTCTGGGGAGTGTTTTAGTGCACCAGATCACTTTTGGCATGCACATAACGGAGCTTCATCTGTGTTTGTTCTGATGTGCTCTGAGAGGAGTTTTTAATTTTTTGACTTTTGAGTGAGAGAAAAGATGACAGGAATATGCTTTCGCTCTTCAGCTGTGCCGCAACATGCAGAGCAACAGAAGTAGTTTTTCATCTCGCAAGTCAAATTACGGTAGTTACACTCACTGAGGAGTTCAGCCTTGCTTTGCTGTATTGACAGCTGAGTGTGGCCCGCTGTGAAATCAAAACCCTCTCCAAAAGAGTTTGTATGTTATCGCATGATTAATTGGAACCTGTGGCCATAAATAGTTTTTTTTTTTTTTTTTTTTGTGATGGTTTTCTTGCACAGAATGTGATTCATCCAATCAGAAAATAGTCTGGCCTGAACTATCCATGTAATATATTAACATTAACACTTTGAGTTCTTATTTTGCCAGAGTTTGTCTGTCTGTCTGCTTGTCGTTTTAGCCTAATGTGTTAGCAAGCACCAGGAAGGGAAAGGACAAGTAAAGAGAGCAAAGGGATATTTTTTGACATTCATGTGATTCCTGTTTTCCTCCTCTACTAACTGGTCTGAAGAACGCGTCTATAGGGTGAAAGGAAACACTTTCTGAGTACTTATGATACTTGAAGGGTCAAAGGGCACATGCTCAACCCTTTCCATGAGACAATTCCTCTTGTACTTCATAAGCCCGTCGTCCAATCTCCACTCAACACTCCATTCAACTGTCTCTGTGTTTTCAGCGTAACATAATTAGCTCAACCTGTGTACACGGGAAAAGTAGACAGGCAAACGGCGGGCCCTAATTCTGTTCCATAGATCTAAACAACCGCAATCATCTGTAATCTGATCGCTGACGATAATCCAATCTGGACTTCGTAATCTGTGTGTACACTGCACGTGTGTGAGTATATTTGCTTTCCATTTCAAGACCGAGCGTCTGCATGAGCCATCAGGGTTTATGCAGCCTGTCCTGTCACTGACATTTTGCCAGGGGATTATTGGATCCCTTTGTATCTCGGGGATGGACTTTCATAACATGCTTTTCATCCATCATCATCATAACATGCATTTCCTCCATCATAAGCGACAAATAAGTGTCCACAATAAAGAAAAGGAAAAAATGTTTCAAAATCTGTGCCACATTCTTAGAAATGTATTTTTTTTTTGTTAGTTCCATATGGTTTTGAAAAACTTTTATAACCTTTTCAACTGTAAAAGTGTCATTTGGTGTAACCATCAAACAAAATGTATAAACATATTTCCCTTACACTTTGAATTCTTGTGTACACATTTTAAGCATTATTTTCAAAAACTTTTAAAATATATCGCAAGGTAAAAAGTAGTATTTACAAATATTCTGATTCTGAATTAACAAATATCAAGCTTTTAAAGAGTTGCACCACATGACATTTTGTAACTGTACATTGCCATAAAAAGATCAAATTATCTTAAAAGACAAAAGGACACAGTCATAAGGGTCTGCATGTAACCTCTCTATGATATAATTTTCTCTTTTATGTTTTTCAAAGCAATAGTTTTTTCTGCATATTGGTCGCATCACATGACTTTGATATGGCCGATAAAAGTGTTTTTTTTATATTAATAAGCAATTTTATTTCTAAGAAATAACATACCTTTCTAATTTATTTCTGAATAAAATAACAAATCCATAAAAAAATCTGCATCATGCCATTGAGTAATAATCATGTAATCTCTGTTCATTGTATGCTCATCTTGTCCCATTTTTTTTGGAAGAAAGGCATTGTTGAAATATTCTTCAGTGTTTAATATGTTAATTTGACTCCTCTGACATGAGTCAGTCCACTTCCCACCGATCACTGCAGTTATAAAACACAGAAGCAGGACCAGAGCCATTAGAAGTGCTGTTTTTAATGCTCTTATTGAGGTTAAGTTATTCAAACAAACTCCAACTCTAATTGTAGTGGCAGGTTTTGCACAAGCACTTTTTTTTTTAAAACGATTACTGTAAGTCTCTGTATTGTATTCTTTTCCTGTTTTTTTTGGTAATCTGATATAAATGCACTCAATCACATGTTAAGGGTGTGTCTGTCAGCTGGATATAATAAACAGCATTTCAAGCCGAGGCGCTGGGGTCACTTAATCAGACAGAACACAAGTAAAGAAAGATTCCCAGAAACACTGCTTTCCCCAGAGATCTTCCCCACTCTTGACTGTCCAAATTGTTCTTATAAACAGTCATCCCACATTAACATCACTTTTTATGGTTGTGCAGCCTAGTAATACATTTGAAGGCATTGCTGCTAAGTTGCTAAACATGATGGTAATAGTTGAAAACGGGTGTTTTTTCTACTGCAGTGGGAAGCAGCTTGTGTTTTGGATTTCCCTCAAGATCTTTCTGTGAACATATGATGACACCCACAGTACTCGGTTTCAATTGAGATAATTTGACACCCACATTATGCTTTTCAAACAGTGCCTTGCTGTTGTTGTGGACATATCAGGTCAAGAGATATCAAGCTTCTTCATGTATAAGGATGAGTTTGTAAACCTGAATTTCTAAACATATAGGGATGAGTTTGTAAATAGTATGTATATAAGGGTTTATTTGTAAATAAATAGGTGTGAGTTTATAAATTAATAGGGATGAGTATGTAAATATGTAAGGACTGATTTGTAAATAAATAGGAAGGAATTCGTAAATATGAAAGGATAAGTTTATTACTAAATAGGGATGAGATGGCAAAAAGGGATGAGTTTGTTAATATATAGGGATACATTTCTAAGGGTATGTTTACATGACAATGATGTTACTAAAAACGTCAAGTTTTTCCTTTGCGTTTTTTCAAATGTTTTGCGTACAGACGACAGCATTGTCAAAATGATCCCCGTTCACAATGATACGTGAAAACGTCTAAAAACGCTGTATTATTCATGCCAGGACAGTAGATGGCGATGTCACTTGAAAAGAAACACTATGCATCTCCTCACGTACACATACCTATAGAATGAACACATAAAACGCATTCGTATGACGTCACCGATTTCAAAAGTTTGCATTTTCAGTCCCCCAAAATGCCTTTGATGTGTAAATGAGCAGCCAAAGTGCATACAATTTCTGTTTTTAGTTGAAAATGGTGTCATGTAAACGCCCCCTAAATAAATAGGGTGAGTTTGTAAATAACTTGGGGTGAGTTTGTTAATATAACCTATAGGGATTTTATAGGGATAGGGAGTTTATAAATATATAAAGATGAGCTTCTAAATGTATAGGGATGAGAATCAAAAGAAAATGTCATTTTTTGATCCAATTTTTACAGATTCCAATAATGTTTTATTTAAATCTGTTCCCAGATAATTTCTGTACATCTATAAAATGTGTCTTAGCAGTGTATTGACACAACCACCCTACAATGATAAAAATCCTTTCACACCTTTTTTTTTAATCCCTCAAAAACCGAAACGGTCTCAATTATCAAGCCGTTTTGATTTTCTGAGCAGTTTGATGTCATAATGCTCAGGCCCCGCCCACGGCCATTGACGGACTGCCCCGTATTAGCATATCTCCGCCCTCAGCCAGTTGTACGCTGTCTGCCATTTTCTCTGCGCTCGAGCAGCTGTAGCCACAACAATGTCTCGTAAGCAAAGCAGGTGTTTTGTAGTAGGATGTAAAAGTGAACATAAGAGTCTTCATTTTCTCCTGACATCAGAGCCACTGAGGACTCAGTGGATTAGTTTTGTTTTTGATGGTAATGTGCCACTGAATACACAAAAAACGGCAGAGAGGGGCGGGGTGAGCAGAGCTCATTAGCATTTAAAGAGACATGCACCGAAACGGGTCGCTGTGAACACAGCTGTTTTTGACGAGGGAAAAAGGGTGTTGTTTTACATGACCATTGAGGAATTTTAACCAAAGTACCAAAGCATTTTATGAAGACCCTAAAGAATCATACCAACTTGTGGAAAATGGGCATCCGATGTCCCCTTTAAGATTTGAATATTTAACTACACATAACACAGTAACAGTTTTCTCATTTCATATCAGGGACCCGATGAAAGTAACAAGTCCTCTGACCTTTTTAGTGAGGGATTGGGTTGTTAGGCTGATTTAAATCATCATTGTCTGTTCAGTAACAACCATGCTGTTACTAAATAGCGTTGCAGAAAACTGAGTGACAAATGCACCATTGCCATTAACAGAACAGAATGTGTTGAACGTCTGTTCTGAACAAGAACCAGTTCTCGGTTCCCAACCCTGTATTTGCTAACGTGTGATTTTGTAGGCGTGGGTGTGCTTGCATGCATATTATATCAGATAAATGATCTAATCTCGTTTTGTTCTCACTCAATGCAGTGATAATATTCCTCCAGATGTGCTCCGGCAGAGAGAAGCCAAATGGCTGGATATGCTCAACAGTTGGGACAAGTGGATGGCCAAAAAACACAAGAAGGTTGGTCTCTGACAAACAGACCTGTGTCCACAGGTTTTATTTATGTTCTCGAATAGCTCAACAACATGATGTTATCTTAGGAATTTGACTGCACATCTCACATTGTGTGCTTCCAAAGTCACAAACCTTTTAATAGAATCAGATAAACTTATGACCAGGCCCACATGAAATATCCGCCCACAGAACTCCTTATTGTATTGTTTATATTGACCTTTGGCCACCCATGTGCTTTAGATATCAGCCATTTAAAAAAACACATTTGTCATAAATGTTGTCTCTACAATCATGTTAAATATTATTTGCTTTTATAATTCTCGTTTATGGTTTTCTTGGTTTTGAATTTCTCTCCAATGACAAGCCTTCCAGACAAAATACAGGGTTAGTCGTTTCTCAAGTTAACAGCAGCTGGATGCCACATCAGCAGCTCATGCATAATTACTTTAATTCTGCTCGACACGGCCGGTCACATTTTACCATCCAATTAAGCAAATAGAAATTAAATACACTTTCATGTCTTTATTTCTTGAGCACTAGTGAATTATGCAAGCACTCTAAATGAACTCTGAATGTCTCTAGAGTGCTCTGGGATTGATGGTGGTTTGTGTCACTCACAAAAAAGTATAAACTGAGTTTGTGAATGCAAGTGCTCAAATGAATAATATTTGTATTAAGACAAAAGGTCATAGTTCATCCTAATATGCAAGTGTACAAGCTCAGTGTCTCTCTCCATCTCTCTGAAGGTAAAGTTGCGCTGTCAGAAGGGCATCCCTCCATCACTCAGAGGTCGTGCGTGGCTTTATCTCTCTGGTGGGAAAGTGAAGAAAGAACAGAATCAGGGCAAATTTCAGGTTTGTCCACTTGAACCTTTGACAGCGGCATGGCTCTGTTCCAAAACAATTTGATTATGCCACCTTAAGACACCATATTTTTTTCCAAATTTTAAGGCAGCCAAAATATGAAGCAGCACAGCTGTTTTCAACACTGATAATGATAAGAAATGGTAAATGATTTCTGAAGGATCATGTGACACTGAAGACTGAAGTAATGATGCTGAAAATTCAGGCTTGAGTCACATTTTATAATCTATTATGATAGAAAACAGTTATTTTAAATTGTAATAATATTTCACAATATTATTGTTTTTACCATACTTTGATCAAATAAATGCAGCCTTAGTGAGCGTAAAATACTTCTTTTATAAACCTTAAAAAAAATCCTTAACTTTTATATCCTTTACAGGGATCGAAATCCCATGATGCAAGGTTCAAGGTGGTGGACAAAGCATAGAATTTTTTTTTAAATCAATATAAATTTCATTCAATATTTAACATTTCAGTGCAACTAAAAATGGACACTTACCCAGTATTTGTGTGCGTTATGTATTTTTATGCCAACTCAGACCTCTAATCAGTTATCATTCTGTTTTGGGGTTTAAAAGACTATAACATTCAGTAATATTATTCATTTAACTGCACTGACACAATCAAATGAGAACAACATTTGAGCTGAATTGAGCTGAACAATCACACTATTGCCTTCTATAGAGCTGCTTTACAGCTGAAATTGAATTCATTTCATAATTCATTAAATGTTTTATGATGATGTTTCATTAATGTGAAGCTGCTTTGCAACAGTCTGTATTGTATAAACTGTTAGACAAATAAACATGATTTGACTTTATGTGGCAGGAGTTGGACAGTCAGCCTGGAGATCCTAAATGGCTGGATGTGATCGAGAAAGACCTCCACAGACAGTTTCCATTCCACGAGATGTTCGTAGCTCGAGGAGGCCACGGGTAAGTCTGCCCTCCCTTTACCTGCAGGCCTCTTCTTTTGAACCCCATCACTTCTGTTACATCATCCAGTCGTGTGTGTGCAGGCAGCAGGATCTGTTCCGGGTGCTGAAGGCGTACACACTGCACAGACCAGAGGAGGGTTACTGTCAGGCTCAAGCTCCTATAGCTGCAGTGCTGCTCATGCACATGCCTGCTGAGGTCAGTCTGCAGTCCATTATTGTGCTTCTCTCTGATCACTCACTGACAGATGGTCCTCATTGTAGTTTTGAATGCATTTCATAAATGATTTATTGATTTATATATTTATCTATTATGATGTTTTATGTGATTAATAAAACACTAGAATTATTGGTAACACTTGAAGCCTTTATTTATAATGCACTATAAATGTACTCATAATGTGAGTTATAATGCAGTATATTTTCACACATACTTGTAACCCAAGTTAAAATGCATTATAAACTTTGCAGATTTCTTGTTGTGTCTGAAATTGGTTGTTTGTCATGTGTTTTAATGCATTTTATTTTGTCAAGGTATAACAATGAGTATAAATGATTTGTGAATAAGATCATATAATGCATTACATGGCATAATTAAAGGAATTGTTCACTGAGAAATGAAAATTTCCTGAAAATGTATTCACCCTCAGGCCATCCAAGATGTAGGTGAGTTTGTTTCTTCATCAGAACAGATTTGGAGAAATGTAGCATTACATCACTTGCTCACCAATGGATCCTCTGCAGTGAATGGGTGCCGTCAGAATGAGCGTCCAAACAGCTGATAAAAACATCACAATAATCCACAATTAATGTAACAGTTAACATCTTGAAGTAAAAAGCTGCGTGTTTGCAAGAAATAAATGTCATAAAGGCGTTTTACCTTGAAACTGTTGCTTCTGGCCAAAATATGAGTCCATAATCCATAATAACGCTTCCTCCAGTGAAAAAGTCCATATCCTGTTGTCCTCCCACATCAAAATCCACCTAAAACTGTTTTTGAAAAAGCAATATTATGGACTTATATTATGGACTCATATTTTAGCTGGAAGCAGTGGGTTGAAGTTAAAAAGGTCTTGATGGGATTTGTTTCTTACAAATACGCAGCTTTTGGTTTCACAAGATGTTAACTGATGAACTGGAGCGGTGTGGATTATTGTAATGTTTTTATCAGCTGTTTGGACTCTCATTCTGACGGCACCCATTCACTGCAGAGGATCCATTGGTGAGCAAGTGATGTAATGCTACATTTCTCCAAATCTGTTCTGATGAAGAAACAAACTCACCTACATCTCGGATGACTTGAGGGTGAGTCAATTTTTTTTTAGCAAATCTTCATTTTTGGGTAAACTATTCCTTTAAAGGCTTTAAGTAAAGTATTACAGAATTTTCTTTATTAATATAATATTTATTAGTTTCAGTGGTTTTAATTATTTGAGTACAGTAGCAAGTTAAACTCATACCCTATTCTGGTCTTTTACTCTTTTATGGCCATGCTCTGGCAGGATGCGTTTTGGGGTCTGGTCCAGATCTGTGAGAAGTATCTGCCCGGATACTACAGCGCAGGCCTGGTAAGTGGAGACAATATACAGTCCTCCTCCATTTAGCACTTGTCACTGCATGTTGTCAACCCAAAGATTCACACGAGAGCAATCACCCTGAAACACTCGATCGATCAATGACGAGATGCTGATGCTCTCATGTTGATGTGGGAAATTTGCTGATGTAGAGAGATCAGAGTTCAAGGGTTGCTCCTCTTGTGCTTCACATCCTGTCTAATCCAGAACTGATTAACCAGGCTAAACTGCGGCTGAAGTGCCCTGTCTCAACAAGACTTATGCAGCACAATAGCTATTTAATTTGGGAATTTATGGCTTCTGTCTAGATCACTCATTTAACACTTCATCTATTGTCAAAATGATGACAAAATAATCAGTCAAATTACTGAAAATATTCGAATCAGGAATGTCAGAATTAGAATGTGTAGTTTGTGCATTAAAAATGTCCGTCAAATCTGCACAAACTTCCTGTTTCTGTCAGAAACCCACACGTTGAACGCTGTTCACTAACCCAGCAAAGTTTTTCAGTTTATTTTCTCCAGCATGCGGAGTTTTTTTTTTTTTTGCAGTTTAGTTAATGATGCACAATGTATTGGTACCATCTCGGATTCTTTTTTGTTTATCACTATCGGTTGCTATTGTCTTTATCGGCCAATAATGAATATTTAATTATGCATGGTTTTTCAGTTTATTTTAATTAATTTCCTACTTTTTTACTTTTAAATAACCTTTGCAGTTATCTAATTGTCACTTAAAATTCATCTTTAAAAACACTAAACATCATTAAATGTAATCTATGATGGATTTAGCAAATATCAAAATGAATATCCATTTTTCATACAGTAAATTATGATATCGTGATGCTTAAATTAACTTCAAAAAATTAAATATAAAATAACATAAAAAATGGAATATATTGCAGCATATTGGATGTATAATATCCAGTCATGTGGAGCAGGAGTTTTTAGGATTGTATTGTGTGCAGGGTTACCTGTCGCTTTCATTAGGGTGCTAATTAATTAATTAATGCTAATTACTCTCAAATGGACCAGTGCAGTCTTAAGTGTTTCTAAACCCGCTGTTGTCATCTTTCTCTGATATACAGTGGGTACGGAAAGTATTCAGACAGAAGAAATGGACAGCACCTGAGTTAAATATATGAGTGTCACAGCAAAGGGTCTGAATACTTAGGACCATGTGATATTTCAGTTTTTCTTTTTTAATAAATCTGCAAAAATGTCAACAATTCTGTGTTTTTCTGTCAATATGGGGTGCTGTGTGTACATTAATGAGGAAAAAAAATTAACTTAAATGATTTTAGCAAATGGCTGCAATATAACAAAGAGTGAAAAATTTAAGGGGGTCTGAATACTTTCCGTACCCACTGTATGTATTTTGTGCATAATGTTTTTGCTGGCCTGTTCTATTACCAGGACTCCAGTGCAATCCCAGCTTTATGTGAGGTCTTTTGTGTCTGACCTTCAGGAGCAGAGTGGGTGGCAGATAAGGGGTGAATTAAACCAACATCAGGATCTTGCTGTCTCTCTTTATCACTCGTTCTAACTCTCTTCTGCCTGGGGGGTTTCCTCTTACCATTCCTGTTTTAAGCTTGTGAATTGTTGCCGTCACAAAATTTGTTTATCACATCAATGTAAATAACTTGTATTTGCAAGAGCGTCAGATCATAGGAACTTATCAGCAAAATAATTCAGTCGCCACATATAATTTACATTTTGAGAATCTCTTTAAAATGAAAAGTTGTTATAGGGAAATGGATCCACTGCGGTACATGCCAGATTTCCCTTTGTCATCTTTCTTTGTTTCTTCCTCATCTCTCTCTTCACAGGAGGCCATCCAGTTAGACGGCGAGATCTTGTTCGCTCTGCTCAAGCGCGTGTCCCCGGTGGCCCACCGGCATCTGAAGAAATACAAGATTGACCCTATCCTCTACATGACTGAGTGGTTCATGTGTGCCTTCTCCAGGACGCTGCCCTGGGTGTCTGTCCTGCGCATGTGGGACATGTTCTTCTGTGAGGGTGAGACTCACTCTTAAAGCCTATCCAATACCATATGCACTTTGTCCTTTCTTGATACCGCACCCCTCCACCAATGAAAAAACTGTTTACAGCTCACTGGGTTCACACCTTGCTACTTGTGACATTTACTTGCAGACTGCAACAACTTGATGCCAAAGCAGAAGTGTAAATGTTTAACATGCTTACTTTTGGACATCAAGATGTCCTAGTAAGGACTTTTTTTTTTTTTTTTTTTTTAAATAAAAATATAATTCAAATTATGTTATTTAATGGTGATCGATGAATGATGAATTAAACAAATTCAGTGAATAATGTATTAAAATACATGTTCAAAATAAAAAATAAAAAATTAAGAGAATTAAAAAAAATGTAATTAAGAAAAAATACTAATACTTGATCATTATTATTATTATTTAAAAAAAATAAAAAGTAGGATGCACATGTTTTGCAGTATTGCCAATCTATTATGAAACTTACTGATATACAAGTAGTGCAAATGTTTCTGTCTTAGATACACTGTTACTTTGCTTGATGGGCATGCATGTCTGTGTGCGTTGCAGGAGTGAAGATCATCTTCCGTGTGGGTCTGGTGCTGCTGAAGTGCATGCTGGGATCTCAGGAGAAACTGAAAGCGTGTCAGGGCCAGTATGAGACCATGGAGCTGCTCAGATCTATTGAGCCACGATACATGCAGGAGGCTTTCCTAGTGCAAGAGGTATCGCCCACACATATGAGCTATCATATGAGCTACACATATCAGCTCACCTATGAGCTGTACTTCAACTTAAAACTTACTTTTAATTACAATTTTTTTTTAACATGGACTAAAAATGTAAAATATCCATATTTTCCCGAGAGATGGTACTCACTGAATAACAGTGTAGCACTACTACCACAGGAATTGTTTATGATTGTGTATTACATGCTGCTTCACATACTTATTAATAGAAATAGGCAGTACACATTATTTCCTGTGCAGTATGTACTCAGCAGTAGCCAGACATAGGCTGTGACTCCCTCTGCTGGTTGCTTTTGGCACATGCATGCATTAAACAGTACAATTTGATTTGCCAAGTAATAGTCCTTTGAAAAATTCTCACTTAAATGAATTAAATATACTTATTTTCTACAGATTTATTATTGTTATTGACTTTTAAAAAAACGTACATCCCCACCATTTCAGGTCATTGAGTTGGCCGTGTCTGAGCGAGACATAGAGAAGGAACATCTCTCTCAGCTCCGGCGCTGGAAGGAGACCCACGGAGAGCTGCACTGTAAATCCCCTCCCAGAATGCACGGCGCCAAAGCCATCATGGCCGCTGAGCCGCCCAGTCGCCAGGACCTCAAACAAAACCCCACGATCGTCGTCGAAGTACCGCGGACCACCGAGAGCAAGATGGAGAAAGGGAAAAAAGCGAAGAGCAAAGTGGACAAGAAAACGGACACGAAAAACACCTCGCCACCTCTTAATCCGTATCTGTTACCCAGCAACCCAGCATTACAGAGCGATAACCTCACGCCCAGCGAATCGCAGCACCTGCAGGAAGACACACCCCCGCAGGGCTCCAATCAGAGTCTCAGTAGCTCCGAACACGACACCTACCTGTAAAGCGCTGGAAGAGGGACGCCAGTGCTGACCGCTGAATGTTTACTGTGCAGAAACATCTGCCTCCCCACTCTCAGGATTTGGCATCGAAGGAGAGATCACATGACACAAAACATACTTATGGGAGTCACAATCACATAGGAGAGCATGGATAAAACCGTACATAATGAGGTTTTCAACTGTGTTTACATGATTATATGTATATGTGTGTGTGCATGTTTGGAAATGAAATGAAGGACAAAGAGCAAAAACCATCTCTCAGATCTCCAAATGAAGCGTTAATGAGCTGCGCTGGATGCAGATGTTCTTATGCTGTTTAAACTAGTTAGCGAGTGCAGAGGACATACTGTAGTGGGATGCAAGTACATTTCCATCATCTGCCTCAGGAGACTGAATTTGTCTGTTTTTGTATTTTTAAAAGAAAAAACTAAAAAATATTTAAGCATAAGTTTAAGATTTATGCTTTTGAACTGCATATAAAATTTCCATCCATTAGGTTTACACAGTTTTAACAGGAGCAGTCATGCTCCTTTAACATGTCAGTCATACATAAATGAAATGGGTTAGATTTCTGTAGTTGTACTGAACTGAATGTGTTTAAGTGCACAGTTTATATATTTATTATCATCCCATACTAATATTTAACAAATTTTGTTTGTTCCACAGCTAGCCAAATTTTAACCATGTTCATTCAACTGAATCAATTTAATTGTTTTCACAATGACCAGATTTATGCTGATTGATTGATTGTTTATGATAAAACCATGTAATCCAAATGGATGGAAATTTCATATGCATTTCAAACACATCTTAGGCCTAAATATATATATTTTTTGAGTGAACAGTTAACGAAAAAAGAAAAAAAAATATCACCCTTTTCGCGATCTTATTTTTTTGTGGAACCAAAAAGCAGCAATTTTGAAGAATCTTTCCACTGCAAATTTCCACAGAAACCCGTCCGAAAAAAAATCTCAGAAAAGCATTAAAATGCCATTCAGTAATATTATATGCTATAAGACTGCTTTAATGGTGTTTCCTGAACTTTTAGGTCGGAAGACCTGCATTAATATTCTTCAGAAAAATCTGAGCGAGTAAATAATAACTGACTGAATTGTTCCTTTAACTATTTGATATTAGCATCAAGATGATTGTGCATTTGACTGGCAACGAATATTTGTATGAAGTGAATTCAGTCGTAATTCCTTGTCTTGACCACTAAGGGGCTCTATTGAGCTGTTTTTAAATCTCAAATTCAATTGCATTTCACCTTGTTGAGCACTAGATGAATTCCAGAGATCTGCATTATATCAGGAGACCAAACATTTCTGTTCTGTCAAATCTTCATTTCAAGCTTCGTGCTCTCTGACAAAATGCTACATATATAAATCTATTTATCTTAGTACCAAAATGCACGTGTATAAAACAGAATCTAGCTGCATAGATTTGAATTCCCTGCAAAAGTCAATCGGAATCAATCCATTGAATGAACTTTTGGGAGAAATATTATATGAGCCAAATAACAGAGGTCTCTGCTCAGACGGGGTTTGCTCCTCTGTCATGACAGATTCTCTGTACATTCCATATGTTTCAATTCTCCTCATGATTTCTGTTGCGGTTTGGTGTGGTCTTGAGTGTAAATGAGCTGTGTACAGGTGTGCTGGACCGTGATCTACATGACTTTAACTGTCAAATTCTTGAGCAAGAGATTGTTTTGCACATTTCCGTCTTGATTTACTAAAACTGAAGGGATGCTGTAGGGCACAATCCTCTGACCTTTTGTAGGGTGAAGACAATTATATTTTTAAAGATCTATGGATTTATTTTCTCTGATGTAAATAGCATAGCCAAGACAATTTTAACACTATTTTATTTCTCTTCTTGCTATGACTTCTTGTAAGTATGGAAGATATGTATATTCATGAGCATTTATGGCCAGGTTTGCTATGTATGCACTCATTGATCGAGCTGTGTGCATATTTTTCTTTGGGAGGAAGTGATAATTTTGTGAGCTAAAAAAAAAAAGAAGTTATTTAATTGAACTGACTGTTTGCCACAACAAACAGGAACCACAAACAGATACTTAGTATGCATGCTTGATATATTTGATTGCTGAATTTTATGCTTTGATGGTCCAGGTATCATATTTATCAAGCTTTTTAGAATTAGGTTCAGTTCTCTCGTGGGACATGCATTGAGGTCGAGGAGATATATTTATGTATAAAGTCCCTAAATGCTGTAATAAAGCAATATTACGTTTTTAATGTGAGAGGTAAACATTCTTAATGTTATCAATTAGAGTTATTTCTAAAATGAACATTGCAGTACAATTTGGGAGAATTCAAGTTTTTGAATGAGTTTTAATACAGGCTGTGTGCCAAAACATGTCACTTCGATAAGAAATGAAGTTACTTTAGATTTTATTTTCTTGTGTTCACACTCAAATTGTTCCATCCTCCTGTATGCAAATTACATTTCTGAGCAAAAAGAAAGAAACAAATTCATGATCAAATAAATTTGATACTCTCAGATTCTGGTGTTGCTGAATGATTCTTTGTGGCTGTCACTAGCGAGTCAGGCAGGGTCCGGAGGGAAGGCTGAGATGGAATGAGGGATGAGGAGAGGTGAAAGAGGCTACTGTGGCCGTGTGGACGGGACACCTGTTGTCCTCGCTGCTTCAGCTCTGAGCTCTCTGAGATTTGCATGTCAAAGGTGCTGGCGTGCTCCCTTCTCCTCATCTCCTCATCGCTCCCCAGCATTTCCCAGAACCCCTCCTGTCAGCGGATGTACCCATACAAAAGCATTAGTCAAACCTCAAATGGAGCCAATAACTGGCCTCTAAAATGCATTCTAAAGAGTGAGTATGACTGTTTATAACTTAAATGCTCAAGGCTTCTGTCATTCATTTCCAGTTATTTTAGCTATACTAAAACCGGTATTTGTTATCTTTATAATTTATTATTGTTATAAAAACAACGAAATTGCCAGCCACTCACAATTAAATCCAGGCTGGAGAAGTTCAAGCAAAAATATATTTTATGTAAACTAAACACTGTGCAAAAGGGTGCATTAAACACTAGACCCAGGCAAGCAAACACCACATTGCTCATGTTACTTCAGTGCTCACGTTACAACCACCTTTCACCCTGTTTCTGGATTACTAATTAGAGATAATCAGCTGGATTCAATTAGCAAGTGGAACTAAAAAAAAAGGCAATTATACAAAACCATAATAAATATACAAGACAAATATGCAAATCATACAATACAAAAAAACGCAAGCAATTTAGAATTCATTCCAATTCATACCCTAAGGGAATAAGGATTTAGGTTCAAAAAAAAAAAAAAAAAAAAAAAATTCCGT